CTAATGTCGTCACTCGTTGTTATCTCTTAGGTGGCTAAAGTTTTTTTCAATATGGCTCGTTTGAAAGTTAAAATGTTTAGAGGAGTAAATATGAAATGTAGGTAGAAACAAGGCGAGCGCGGGTATTATTAGTATAACCTACACAATGTGATTTTAAAGTAGTTAATTTTAATCTAAGTTTTACACAAAGCTACTAATTTACAACGCTTTTAGAAATATGGGTTTTTATACTGTAAAGTCTTTTAAGAAAATCTATAGTCAGATACATTTAATAGTTAGTAAGATATATCAGATAATAATTTAAAAAGTTGGAGTAATAGATCTAGGCACTGTGTAGATTGTAGGGTGTCTTACTCACTCTTGTGGACACTCTTTCTCTATGTACGAAAGAGAAAATTAAACATTCAATAATTAAAAAAAAACGATTTGAATTAAACGTTACTTAGGTATACAACAATAAACTGTGCTTGAACTATATTTATTTAATTGATTTACTAGAAGAAACTAAACACAGTTACAATTAGATACGAATTGACTCAACATTGATTGTAACGAGTTATTAAATTACTTTTATTAATTCGTTTAGAAAATAATGAACTACTAATCTAAATATATTAGTTTTAATTTAAATACAACGTAATTGTAATGTATTTTTTTTGTACTTATCCAGTAAGCACTTAAGAATCTACTTCGATGTTCTACCCATTAAAACAGACCTTCTGAAGCTTGCTTGGAGTATCTAGTAAACAAAATGTCAAATTTCAATAAAAGAACATGAATACAATTCCACAGAGATGATACTGTTCTATAAAGGTTTTCAATTAGAAAAAAATGATCACGCGAACTGAGTAGGGTGTAGCGATCTAAATAAGAATAAGGCTTTGTTCTAGCAGGTAGATGTCAGATCGTGTGTCAACTGCCGTTTGGGTGGTCCGTGATAGATGGCACAAATATTTTGAACGTATTATAATGTAAATAAGCATGTATGGCGGCGAGTGCTTTGTTGGAACCACGACGAATGTCTAACCAGCCTATCTTGACGCTTGGGGTCAGGAAGAATCCTTTAATACCAGTACGAGGAGTATGGGATGGAAGATCAAGATTGGTTGGAACTTCGCAACATTGTGAATTAAGATTGACTTGCATATGCGGGGCGTTAGTGTTTCTTTGGTGACACCTTTCCTTTGTTGCGTTTGATCTTTGAATAGATCTTATGTAAAGATGAAATTACTTGAAGTATGAAAATTATTATAAGGTAACGTTTGAGAATCTTATAGGACATTAAGCGCACATGGCTTTATTCATAATTAATAAATAGTAAGTTATATGTTTCTGAACCATTTTAAATTTAAATAAAACACTTTAACGTTTTAAAACGCGATATATTAGTTAAACTTATTGAACAGTCGGGGAGTCTCTCCGTGACCACGGCTGCTGCAAAGTACCCGAAACGTTGGGCCGAAGTTAAAATCATTTTCAAATATGTTTAACTAATATATCGCGTTTTAAACCGTTAAAGTGTTTTATTTAAATGTGTACTTCTCGCGTAAACAGTATTTAAATAGACACTGTTAAAGTGCTGTTAGCCCCGATACCGTTTAAGTAGCTAACAACAAAACTGCACTAAGTTTTATCGATGCAGGTACTTAAATCACTATTATTAGAACGAAGTGTTAAGATAAATCCACGGTACACTGCAGTGGTGGTTCAGTGGTCCTCGATAGAAACCTGTCTCGGCCAGTGTCAGATAAAGCCGAGCACAAAATATAAATATATTCATTAGGTGACACCCACGCCCTATCTCGCCACTAAATCCTGCGCCGGCGCTTGTCTGAAGAAGCCGCGAGACAAAAAACATGCTCACCAATAAGAGACTTTGGCTATCTCAATTAATATAGAGCGATCTTACAAGCCGTGTCTTGTATTCAGTTTGAAATAAATACAGGATGTATCTCAAGACATTTTTCAGGTTAATTGTGAAACTTCTACCTACTGAATGCAGTAAGAAGTAAAAATTAAAAAAAATGATTATTAAATTTTTACAATCTGTAAATATGTAGTCTGTGGTTAACCTGAGTACATATTTAACGGTTGATACATAAGTATATAAACTGTTCAAACGCTTACGGCAAAGCATTCTAAAGTTACGTCGCGATTAAAAATAACTGAAATAGGTGTTTTTTAGTATACAATATTTTAATGGCCTATATAAAATTAGGTTAAATACTGTGTATAGTTTACGCGAGTATTACAGATTAAAAAAAACACATTAACCCCCCCACGTGTCTCCCTGTGACAACGTCGGGCCGAAGTTAAAAATCATTTTCAAAAAAGTTTAACTGAAATATCCCGTTTTAAACCGTTAAAGTATTTTACTTAAACGCGATATATTAGTTAAACCTATTGGAAAATGATTTTTAACTTCGGCCCGACGTTTCGAATGCTTTGCAGCAGCCGTGGTCTAACTAATAAGTATATCGCGTTTTAAACCGTTAGTGTTTTATTTAAATGCGTACTACTCGCATAAACTATAGACAGTATTTAATATATCGCGTTTTAGACCGTTAAAGTGTTGTATTTAAATAAAATTGGGTTTATAATAATCACTAATAATAATAAATCTTTGTTTGGCATTCATTCAGTAGTAGTAGCAAGTTAATGTAATTACAATAAAATAATCAATACGAAAAGTTTCAATTAAATTTGAATAATAGTGATGCCAAAAGGGTCTTGCGTAATAAGTTGCAGCACGTTTATGCTACAACACTGATTTTTAGTAAAACCCTACTGTTCGTCTTTAAGTCAGCGTTCATTCAACCATTTGACATTTCAAATAACAGTGACTTAAGCTGAAAACTTTATTAAATGATGATTAAGTAAATATTGGCGTAAATAGGCAGGTGACATTCTTTTCTTTTCTCGTTTAATGATAATAATAGTGATAATACAACAAAAATACTCTATATTATCTTTTATATTGTTTTAATTACGAAGCCAAGTCAACCTTCAATAGTTGGCAGTTTAGTGTGTTTAAATTAAATGTGTTTATATTTATTTTATTAGGATTTTACAAGCAAATCTATCTATAGTATTGTCTGTAGTTAACGCAAGTAGTAAAAAAAATATAGAACACTTTCAATGGTTCCAAAAAAAGTTAAAATTTATTTTAACTACGGCCCGAAGGTTCCGATGCTTTGCAATAACCGTGGTCGCCGGGGCCGCTATTTATTTATTTCGCGTTTTAAACTGCTAAAAGTGTTTTATTTAAGAGCTAATATAAATGCTTGAAATTAAACTCTATCAGTCTGACTTAAAATAGACTTAAGACCCAATATTTAATGTTAACATAAGACATTGAAAAATGTTGTTAAAAGAAATTAAAATAATTACCGCTTTGATTGTATGTTTATCGATATTCCCAAGTAGAATATTCAAAGAGGCATTGTACGGGCAAACGGAAACCGCAATGAATCGAGATTGCTACAAATTAAAGAGCCTAGCACAAAGCGAATGTATCGAGCATACGATCAAGGAACGAGTTACAACGTTAAGCGACGTACTACGGCAGTTGCGTTTCGGCTGAGACCTTCCGGCAATTCCCTTTTCCCTGTAATTATAAAAACCTCGCACTGATACCGATAAAAGAGAATAAATATTTGCATCGGCTAATTATAGTTTGTGCATCCGAGCTCTACGTAATTGTCATTTAATACCCATGGCACAGATAGTCGACTATTTCTAGGTGTGATTCCCAACGTCCAATGTGTTTCTTTTTTATTATAAGCATGATGGTAGAGACTTTTCTAAACCTACTTGAAAGTGCACAAGTTTTCACTGTGGATGGTGGTTCCTGGACATTAAGTGGGTGGTGGGAATATCTAAATTCCGCCCGGGTCACGAACTATATGAAAAACTCGTGAAGTTTAACCGCGTTTCAATTTCAGTCTGTCGATTAACGAAAGTCGAAAGACAAAATAGATCGACAATACATCTTGTTAAGTTAAATATGGCTGGGATGTATCACCTTTCTATCAAGTGAATTTACTGTCTTGTCTGTCCTTCTCTATCATTGAAAGAATCGTTCAGATTTAAATTTTTGTCTTTACGATAACAGTGCCTGTGCACCTCGCCACATGACGGCAATACACCCTTCATGAATAAATGAAGCTTTTACTCACGAAATACTTCGACTATATTAGTACTCACCTAAGTTGTTAACAAAACATTTTCAACGGCGCTACGAACGTAATAGAGTTTAAAATAATGCCGCCCTGTCTTAATTAAAATGGTCCGCGCCCGTTACTCAAACTATTAGAATGCTAAGCATGGTTAAGTAGAGCGACGTCTAATTAACAAATAACTTAAAAATATCGCTATCTCTTATTACAGTGATGCAGCGCCGTGTGACAGAGCGAGCGAGGTATACATTAGCACCTTCCGTCTGTAGAAATTGTGAAAGATCACCTGTGCTCACTACTGTAATTCTGCCAAGCGGTATAGCACCTGTCCCTTTCGTACAGTTCAAGCTTAAGCCGAATCGAACGAGTGTGAGTAGGAGTAGTTTTATTCGCTCTTAGCTGCGGTAAGTCATATACGTCCGTAATATTTCAATAAAAAATAAACCTACAGTAAATGAATCGTAAGTGTCAAATTGCTTTGAATAAATGTAGCAAATGCGTATAGAACAGGACGGAAGGCTGTAAATGAATCGAGCGTAGCCGTGGGTTTGACGCGTTCGGAAATCGAATTAAGAGCGTTAGAGTGAGAGGCGAGTGGAGGCTCGCTTAAGTGGAGGTAGTTTTTTGTTAATGTTTGCGGAGATTTTTTTCTGAGGCGTGCTAATGGCAGTAGGCGCGAGTGGGCGCGCCGGCGGCAAGCGCGCACTTCAGTGTTCTGGCTGAGCTTCGTGCGAGCGCGTGCTGTGCTGGCTAGTGTATAGCTGTGGGATAAGTTCGTGAACTGTTGTGCGCTTTGGTGCTTATGCTGGCGGTGGCCCGACAATGTTGATATCGGCGGGCACTGGCCCCACACCTGACTTCTCACCGGCTTCGTGTTGCGCGTCCTGGAAGATGGAGCCGGCGCCGGCAGCCATCTCGCAAACGCTCAACATTTCGCCCAATGGTGAGTGACATCTGATAACGCAGTTAAATTTCCACGTCAAATGAATGCTGATCTAAACTCTTACACTTATAGTTAAAAGTAACTAACTCCGTGTAAAAACTCTACCTATAGGAAAAATTGTTTTTTGCGAAGTGAAATATTCCTATAGGATTTCTACGCTTAATAAATAGTTCATAATTATTGTATCATGGATTCTAAACTCTGAAGTTCTGCATGCTTTTGTAGTGATTTAAAAAGTACTTATTTTTTTTTTTGTAGAATATACTCAGATGTTTATAGTCATTGTAATGATTTATTTAAATGTATTAGTTAGATCTTTAATGAAGCCGCTAATTAGTCTACAGAAATAATGTTCTTTACCTCTTTTAGATTTACTTTTATAAGTACAATAAATTATCACAGATCTATAAAGGAAGTGGAAAAGCAATAAATTTTCAAACAATTTAACAAGGTGACATACTAAATTAAGTAATTCACAAACAGTTAGGTATTAAGTATTTTCCTTAACCAACAGAAACAACATATAACTTCACAATAAGTAGTTATTATTTATTATTATTACAATTTACAAATGATAAGAAACACATATTTCTCTTAATTAGAAATTATCACAAAGATACATGCGACGGCAACAAAAGCGGTTGGTTTTCGCGCATACAATTAAAAAGACAATAAATGAAGTACAAATAAACATCCAATCACATACGGAAACAGATTGATAATTATTATATGCGAACATTACACTCTATTATATTATAAAAGTCATATGATTATTACCATAATTAATAAAGACAACCGACCCTACCGTAATAGTAAGCTAGAGGCCGCTGGAGGCTGAGTAGTCTAACTGTAATTTAATGGTTTTTCTTATTTATATTTTTATAGTCTAAAAATATCAATCTACAAGAGCACATTGATCGAAAACTGTTAACATAATTATTGTTATACAAACAATAGTAGGTACACAATAGTTTATCCTTATTGAAAATCATGTTTTTGTTATTGGGCCACTCTGCCTCATATATTATTATAGATAATAGTATAGTACACAGACATATCAGCTTCTATTATTTACTTTATTATAAAATTATAGTAATTTATAGATGTTTCTGTATCAAAATAAAATTCTAAATGAGTATAATTTAATTAATGCGTATCTTTATGATTTAATTATTTTTGTAACTCAGTTTATATTTAGATACAAATATTAGTCAATTTTTATATTTATTCACATCACAGCTGGGCAAAGATCTCTTCTTTTATGACTTTATAAGTGAAGATGATGATGAGTTCAGCCCAGTCTCTTGGTTTAACATGCTTTACAGGTACAGGGATGATCTTGATCTTCATTCTCTATAAATTTTATTAAATCCAAATATCGAACTATCAATATGAAAGCCTAGATGCCAATCACTAATCTGACGAGGTTCCAAAATCAAATTCTAAAGTTATTGTAAACATGTCTATTTGCAACTGTACCTTGTAGCTAATGATTTATAACTCTATTTGAAACTAAGCCACTATATTACACAATTTCCTAATACAATGGTTGGTTCGAGCGTCATTTATTATGTCACAAGACAGCTGGTTCGATGAGTTGGCGAAAACCGGCGGAACCCATAGGACATTGTCAGCATTGTATGGCCGATCGAACTAATTAATCTTAAGATCCGATACTAGATTGTCCGGTAGCATTTCCGGTGAATGTTACTCAATATTCAAACGTTTATGATATATGGCTGATATGTTTTGATTGACGATAAGCGGCCTTTACTAGAATTCTTTATTTAAATTATTTCAAATTAACAGATGAACAAGTGCGAGTCGGCAATTTTACATATAAACTATAGATTAACATTTATTGTTACGTATAGCAACGGAAATATTTATCATCTGTGGAAAATATAATAGTCTGTTTATAAGCGGCAGATTTTTATTAATATACTTTTACTAATTCTGTACAAAATTTTAAATGACAAAAGATATTTAAAAGTGGCAACAACACGTTGCTTAGGTAATTTTATTTCTAATTTACTGCTGGTTGTCATTTTAACACTTTAAAGAATAATTACACCTCGCAAAGCTATAAAATAAATGTTAGTACTTACACATGGCAATAATTTTATTACGTAAAATTGTTTGCAATCGAATCAAGAATGCAACCGAATTCACCGGTTTATATCAATGGGAGTGTTCTAAGAAAACTTGTTATTATTTTAATTCAGAAAGTATATTAAAATGTGGTGGCACATTTTATTTACAAACACATTCGACGATAGCCTAATAAAGGATTTTTACATTACGAAAACCCTTTTGTTTAAAAAGTATATAATACCTCTTTACTAAACGTTAAATATATAAAGAAAAAAAAAATGTTTCATATTACATAAACAAACTCAATTTTTTAAGTAAACTCATTGGCAAAATAGGCCTACCTATAGTTTCCAGCTACAGTACTAACAATAAGTTCAAAATGTATGCTTATGTACATTCTGTTTGATGTTTTAAAGCTTAATAAAATATTCTGCATTTAGAAAAAAAGTGTAATTCAGATACGTATAGAAAAAATAACAGTCTAAGTAGTTAAAAACAGATAAAATTAGTCATAACATTTGAAATCTATATTTTATTTACAATATTATATTTTAGAAATAATTAATCTAATCGCATCAAAAAATACTATACACCAAATTAATATCTACTCTCTCAATTATTTAAATTTAGAAGAGTGTAACATACACTCTTCTAAATTTAAATATCGGAAGCTAATTTGAAAAAATAAAATTTTCCTATTAAGCTAGGTTTTCTTTTCACTTGCAAGACTTTACCTCGTGATATTTATGAATACAGTAGTTACAAGTTCGTATTGAATCTTTAATTAACTTTGTACTAATGGATTCACTTACCCATGTTGTTATGTATGGTATCTTGTCGCCATGTTTTTAACACGGGCGAGCCTGTATAAATACATTATGATAATTAAAGCAATTAATTTGTTATCGTGCTTAGATACATTTTTACAATATTATTATTTTAAAGATTTACTTAATTGATTATATCTTTTAAAATATAATTTTGTAGATATTTCATGTCAAATGGACATTGAACTATGGTGTTATATGCTGGAGGTGTAAATCTAAGTGGATTGAAAGAAAAAGATGTCCGTTTTTTGGATATGAGAAGACAATTGACTAAACCAACAGCACATAATGCTGTAGCTGTTTGTTCGAGTCTACTTCGAGAGAGTGTAGGAACGATAACTAGACAGAAGTTTAAAATAGGTGTAAAGAATTTTCGCAATCTGTTTTCCTTCTAGTTACCATTCTATTAGTTTTTTAGCTTCTGGACAACAAAAAATATTTTTACACCATAACAATCTCTTTTAAATTCATTTGATTCGTCACTGATATTCCATCAGATGGGAAAAAAGCGTTTGCCCTTGGAAATCTCATGGTGTTTCACAGAAGCTATTTTTCAATTACATTTTTGCCAGCCACTTTGGCAAAATTTTAGTTACCGTTATTTGTATGCAAAATTTTTAGACCTATTGGAAACCATTAAACTAAATCGATCAGTAAGTTTCTAAATGGAGAGAGATTTACATATCATTAATAAATAAATTGGTTATATAATTACTATAAAAAGTCATTCATTTTCCTGCGTAGGTTTTTTCATTTATTGCAATTTTGTAGTGTTAGAATTTCCGTACATCCATATTTGAGTGCAATGGTAATGGAAGAGGAATGCAGATACATTAACATCATAGGGTTGACGAAAATTCATTTCCAAATAAGTTTAACAAATATATCGCGTTTTTAACCGTTAACGTGTTTTATTTAAACTTTTTAAAGGTTCAAAATTATATTTGAACCGTCAATCATCTGTACCTACTACCTGTTCATTTATGTTTCCTTGTTATTTCTTTTTTGGTTTTATAAAGTTTTATTATTTGTTCTTCTTAATATCATTTCAAAGATAGCAGACCTGCACACTCCCTACACTAACAAACGATCCCTGCACTAACAACTAGGTATACCTATTGTAGACTAGCTGTGCCAGCGACTTCGTCCGCTAGGAATGTTTATTTTGGGCATCCAAATTCGTTTTTGCAAACCCCTTTATCTTAATAAACTTATGCTTTTACCCACGACGTCAGTCGCCTCCCTTTCCGTCGTTCTTACAAGTTAATCTTAAAAGATAGTCATATAGTCATCGCGGGCTTTTTTTTAGATCATTTAAAGAGGCAACATTCTTTTATACATATTTTTTGGATATCTTGAACCACTTTAAACCCATAATGATGAATAATTCTCTCAATTTCTCGCTGTATCTTCCTTTGTATTAGCCAAAGGGCAGATGTTTTATAGCTCGATAAATGCTCTAACTAACACAAATGGAATTTTTCAATTCGAATTTGTAGTTCCTGAGATTAGCACGTTCAAACAAACAAACTTGTAAGCTTTATATATTAGTATAGATTATAAAATCCGGTAAACAATTAAGTAATCATTTGAAATTTAATCATACATTTGAAACAGACAAGAACATTTTCTTTATAGAGTTGCAATACTACAGACACCTATAAAAATATGTATGGTTTATTTGATTTTAGTTTTGTACGAAACTACTGTGCACGAGCGGGGGGGTTTTTTTTTTTTTTTTTTTTATTGTCTGTTCTTTTTAACTTTACCTTATATCACATGATCTTCATTAATAAATATTGATTAAATAATCTAGGTATACTCAAACATGACATACAGTTATTTAGATTCTAGAGTGTGCGTTATTGCGTTTAAGACAACCCTAAACTATATAAGGTAAGCTGCGAATGTATTTTAGACTCGGTGATAACTCAATCATTAATGCATTTTGCTTTAGTATTTATCTAGTTTTAGGCAAAAACATGTTTCGAAATTTTGCCGATTTTTATAAGCTCGTATTTTAATAGTATTAAAAGTAAAGTATGCTAAAATCATTCGATTTAAACTTTAGCAGTAAAC